AACGGAGTGAGAATTACCAGAAAGTAGCCGAAGATCGTTGCCGGAGGATTCTCGAAGTTCGCTTCGGAATTCGCGCAGCTCCAAGATGCTTGAAAATCCAAATTTTTCGAAGATGGGAAAAGTACGGAAACCTCTGAAAAATGATATATATAAAGTCGCCCGACCAATCATGTGTGGACACGTGTATAGATCTTTTGAAATTCGACATTTAAAGCGAAAAAGAACCGAAACGTCCGAAGGAAGCCAACAGTCACACCTCTTCAAAAATACTTGGCTCTCAATCCGCCACGTGTCGCTCCCGTGTGAACACAATCAATGCGTCTCAACCGTTACATCCCTTCAGAATACTTGGTCTTCACTCCAAGTGTAGTGGAGGTGCCGACCTCGGAAGAGGGTTGGACACGGATTCGATGGGCCCAGCTCGGATCCGACCAATAAAAGACGACCTCAGGAGCGGCACGATGGGCCTCACCCAAGCTCGGGGGCCTGTATGTTAATATCCGAGCTCGACCCCAATAAGGATACCGGTCTGATAGATCAAAAGCCGAACGAGGGCCGGCCGAACCAAAGATGCCGGTCACACCCTAGAGGGTGCCGAGCCGAGTAAAAGTTAAAGCCGCCGGGAACGACGAGAGGAGTCGATTCCGAGCTCGGCACCGTACCCTTTGAGCTATGGGGTCGGCACCCTGTTCGAAATCTCACAAGGGCGGCCCCTGATAGAGATATGGCCTTAAACACAATAAAGTAAGGCCACTAGCCGACAAATGATTGTCGATGGGACATTCCAGACTAGTCTACAAGGCTAGGGTGTCTAGTTCAACCAGAAAATGTGTCCGCATTAAATGCAGCTCACATCTGCATTAAATGCATGGCAGGAAATGATTGGAAAACCCAGAAATTACTCTCAATCGGTCAGAGAAGCGCCGGCCTGTCCCTCCGAACTACTGTACGACAAGATTGGTGAACAGTACCGCATTAAAGACCCCTATAAATAGCAACCCCCTCATTTATTTTTGGGTTGTTGAATCCCAACTGTAAAAAGCTTTCTTGATATTTTCTCTCTCTAGACTTGTAAGAAGCTCGTGTAAGAAATTGTAAGTATATCGCAAGTGTCGACCTCGCACGAGAGGCCGACCTCGTGATCTTTTAATAGAATCGCGATAAAACCATAATTCCTTGTCTTTTTCCTATTTTCTTTCCGTTACTTAACTTTTTAACCGTTGACCGGAAACATCCGTCAACATCCAGGCCGTACTATGTAATTTCTGCCGCTTTGGTGATCAAACGATTCTCTGCCACCCTTAATTGCTCAATATAATTATTTTTGTATCTAGGCATTGCCCTCAAGTGAAAGAACTTTGTATTGTGATCCCCTTCTTTTAGTCAGTCAACTTGAGCTCTTTGTTTCCAAAATCTCTTCTCATGAATATTCAAACGAATACTTTCATTTTCGAGAATTTTAATCTCATCGATGCGCTGCTCAAAATTAGGGGAATCAAACAGCAGTTGAAGAGAAGTCTCTTTTTACTATAATTCTTCCCTACAATTCCTGAAAGAGCCATTACTCCATTTCACCAAATCTTTTTTGTAATTAAGGAGCTTCCAACATACAAGATCGAAAGGCCAATTCCCGCTAGGAGTTCCACTACCAGACTTAACCCATCTGTCGTATATTACCTCTTGACATCAATCCTCCTTAGCCAGAAGGGTTCAAACTTAAAAGGTCAGAATCCCCACAAATGGATAGGCGTATGCTCGTTCCCAATTCGTAAGGTAATAGGATGGTGATCCAAAAACTTGAAGATGAGATGTTAGATCCACACATATGGATACCAATCAGCCCATTTTGGTCTATCAAAAAATATGTCAATGTGTGCTTGAATATTATCGCTACCTTTTATCTTGTTGTTCCAAGTGAAGTGACTACCACGAAAATGAAAACCCGAGATATTGCAATCAAAAAGGGTTTCCTGGATTGACCTCGAAGATAGGAGGTGCCCCCTTTCTGTTCACAGAGAGTAAGAGTTTCATTAAAGTCTCCTCCACAAATCCACGGAAAATATGCCATTGAGTGAAGTTATCTTAGAAGATTCCAACTATGATGTCTCTCACTTCTCTTCGGATGTCCATAAAACCCCGTGAACCTCCAGCGCTTTCTCGTCGAATCTGTCACCCTCACATCATTATGTCATGATGAATAAGATTTGATTTTAACATCCCGACCTCAACAACATTAAGCCACCGCTCAAACCAATGCTATCTACGACAAAATTCCCATGAATGTGAAACAAGCTTATGGAAATGATCTGCCTTAGCGCTATACAACTTAGTTTCAGATAGGAAACTAAGTCGAGGGAGAGAGGCCGGACCAGGGCCCTCAGAGAATTAGACATACCAAGGTTCCCCACGCCTTATACGTTCCAGCATAGGCAAATCATTTGTTCTAGTTGTCCTGCGCAACAGAGAACCTATTTCCCGTCGAGCTTTAGCTACGTCCACGTTGAGCTTTAACCGTTTTACGACGATAAGCTCCTCTGACGAAACTCTATTTCTCTTGCCTAGAGAAAATCCAGTCCCGATATTTCTGTTAACTGCTTGATGCACAAAAGTTGGTAAATCCATATTTTTATTCTTTCCCGATAAGGGGAAGTTTATTATGGTTACTCAATCATTTCGACATTTCATTTGGAGATCCTATCTTCTTTGTAGAAGATATATTTCCATCTTTCGAACTATGCTCCCATGATAATATCATCTCTGATATAACATATAAGAATAGCCCGGTAGAACCGCACATGAGTAGCTCGGTTCATTAAGGAATATCAGCAGCTCGGCCTATTAAGTAATATTAGCAGCTCGGCCTACTAAGGACACTAGTAGCTCGGCTTATCGAGGACACTAGTAGCTCGACTTATCGAGGGCAACAGTAGCTCGGCTTTAATAAGGACACTAAACAGCTCGGCCCATTAAGGAGTATTAGTAGCTTGTCCTACTAAGGACACTAGTAGCTCGGCTTATCGAGGGCAACAGTAGCTCGACTTTAATGAGGATACTAAACAGCTCGGCCTGTCAAGGAGTATTAGTAGCTTGGTTTATTAAGGGTGTCAGTAGCTCGGCCTGTCAAAGAGCATTAACAGTCCGGGAACCTTCAGAGAGGGAATAACTTGCACAAGGCAGAAGGCCTAGCTAGTATGATGGCTACGAGGAGCAGTTAACAAAAGACACGTGTAGTGTCATGATCGAAAAGAAATAAGTGATCTGACGGACGAAGAGCGAAGAGTACGGGGAAAGCTAACAAGTCCATATAAATAAGTAAATGGATGAAGGAGGTAAGGTTTAATCACTCTACAAACCCTAAACACTACATACATACAATTACATACAACTTTCCTCTATCCTTTACTCCTCTATGAGCGTCGGAGGTTTAACGCCGGGAACACCTCCCGAAGGTCTCCGAAGAGCAAGCAGTTCAGGATCAGCGGGGAGTCGGTCCGAGGTGCAAAAGCACATCAGTCTCTGGTTGAAGGATGTCATAAGTTATCCTCATGTCTCCCAAAGTTGTAGCCTATCGGGGGGTCATCAGTGGAAGCAATCAAATCGCTGGACAAGAGATGATTGGGCCCAAAGAGTTGCCCCTGGTCTGGTCTGGCTGAAGAATGGCATCTAACGAATTTCCAACATCTCTTTGATAGTTTGTACTGAAAGTGCTTGAGTGACGTGGACTTCTCAAAGTAGCGTTGGGTGATCTTGGTTTCCCATGATTTTTGCAAATAGCTGGAGGAATGACTTGGAGTTTCCTCGTATCGACGATTAACAACTGGGGAGCCGTTGTTCGTATTGTTTAAGCACTCGCACATCCGATGTCCGATAATTCCACACGTGAAATAAAAATCTGGTAGTTTCTCATACTACTAAAAAGATTCGAAGTCCCCTCTTTAGATGTTTGGCAGTATCAATTTCCACCTGGACATTGGGGGCCAATCCTTCTACATCGACAACCAAAACTTCCCCCAGATGACTACCCACCATCTCAACACACTTCTAAGTATGGTAGACCAATGGTAAGTTTAGAAGATGGACCCAAACATGGCACCATGTTAAAGTCCATTGAAGAAATAGAGTCCACTCCTGAAGGAATAACTAGTGAAAGTAGTTGTTTATTAAATTGTCAAGGACCCCGTGAATGATGAAATCTCTATCCTCAGCACATCCAGACTGAATAACTAGTGAAAGTAGTTGTTTATTAAATTGTCAAGGACCCCGTGAATGATGAAATCTCTATCCTCAGCACATCCAGACTGTAACAAGAACACATTGTAGGCCCCTTTAGCTTTTATATGGAATGAGAATTTGGTTTTCCAAATTAGGCGTAGCATTGTTTCAGCCCTTCCTTATTAGCGAGCACTTTCTCAACCATACTTGTATAGTTATTTTAGCAAAGCCCGCTTCCTTATTAGCGAGCACTTTTCTCAACCATACTTTTAGTTATTTTAGCAAAGCCCGCTTCAAGGGATTTAACTGGTCCAGATCTAACTGGAGACGATCACAGAGATTTGCATTTTCCTCTTAATCCATGTAATAGAAAGTTCTTATCCAGAACAATACATTAGACGAGAATTAAAATTGATAGCAGTCTCTCCATCACAAAGATTTGCAATTTCATCCAATCCATGAAATAGAAAGTTCTGATCCAGAAAAATACAGAAGATGAGAATTGAAATTGATAGCATGGTCAGAATAGTCTAGAGATGTGTAGAAAAAAGAAAAAAGAAAAAGAAAAAGAAAACGACACCAATCTTTGGCAGCAAGAAATCAATCCAAAGGCTGTAATCCCCTAATCGCCTCTTGAAGAGAGAGTGAGGGAGTTTAAACTTGATTGTTTATACTGTTAGTATCATACGAATATAACAATTATTTTCTCCATTTGTTTTTGTACAAGACTCTCATACAATATACAAGTGAAAGAAAATTTTCATCAAATGGTAACAAGAAGAACACCTCTTGCGTATTAGTCATCATACAAACACCACAATATTCTCAAAGATTAGGGTAGACTTACCTGAAACACAATGTTCATAATTTGTAGTTGCCAAAATCTCTAAACCAGTCAATCTAAGAAGGAACTCAACATTTATTTTTTGAAGACAATATATCCAATACCACAAAAGAAAAAGAAATAAAAAATAAAAAACAGATGGCAGGAAGAGAACTAGAAAACCTAACCAAGCCCAGACATATCCTGGAGACTGCTAATGGGCAGACTGTTAGTCTTCGAAACATCTCTATTCTAGTCGAAATATATAAAAAGCAGCATGCTACAAAAGTACTGGATATTTGTTTCTCTTTCATCCAAATTTGAGAAAAATACAACTTCCAAAATAGAGATCTGCATCTCACCATGATTAATTCATCAAAACTTTGAATCCTAGAGCAACAACTCAGCTATCTGGATGGCATTAAGAGCAGCACCTTTGCGTATTTGATCGCCACAAACAAAAATGTCCAACCTGTTCAAATAAAATGTCAGAAGGATGCAATTCATTTCAAAACTGAGATAGATAGGAATGTGGATCAGTCTTTCTTACCCATAATTCCCTTCTTGGGAAACATCTTGGCGTATCCTACCAACTGCCACATCATCTTTATTCGAGACTTCTAATGGGGTAGGGAAGTAGTTGGCCGCACGGTCATCAATAACAACTACCCCTGGGGCATTTTTAAGAATCTCTCTTGCTGTGTCCTAACAAGGTTCGAAGAATCAATCTACAGTCTATGTTGGATTCTGGAGGTGACATTTTCATGGATAGTAACAATTTATGCATAATGTTATTAGTGTTAATGATTGACCACATGTGGAGTTAACTTCATTACTAGGACATGCAATTAATTACTATCAATAATGCACGACTGACCATTATGCATAAATTCATACCACATTCTTCGCCTAAAAGTAAAATACTCAAGCTCAAAATGGAAAAGAATAATAAAAAGAATGAAGATTATTTCAGGTTACACACAACATTTTTTTTCCTATACCTATATATGTAGGATTTGGTTCAAATGAGAACCAAACCATGAAATAGGAAAATGATATCAAATCATAGTGGTTAAAAGTAATTTAAACCTAATAGATTAACTAATCAAATAAAAAAATATAACATCATGCATATATCCTTATGTGTGTATTAAATTAAATATAATTGTGTATCAACAGACTTTTAAACGTGCATTAAAATTGTCGGTAAGGGTGACAATGACTGCCACTGGCCGACAATCATACAATTGTTCGCAGGTTAAGGCTAACTATCCCTTTAGTTGGAAGGTTTCCTTTGGGTGATTCAAAAGGGAAATAGGAAATCACATCTTTCTGTTTTCGAAATATCACATGTAGAGTTTTTTGTGGGATAATCACTTGGTGTGGGAGCGAGTGGTGCAATGGCCCAGAGATGCTATAGCTCTAAAAGTATGGAAAGGTAACAATTATAGTATATGAGATAAAGGAAGTAATTATGGAAAGAAAAAAAAAATATGAGGACAGTAATATTTAAGTATATGATATAGGAAGATTTGACAGAGTAGAATTAGACAAGATAGGAATTGCTAGTTCTCTTGCTTTTCCTCTAGAGTGACATTTATTGAGGGTGTATAGATTTGCACTTCAAACTTCTCACTTTCCTATCCCAAGTACAAATAAGAGAATATTAAAAAAAAAGAAAAAAAAAAAAAACATTCGTCTCAGATAGGATCATAAAGATTTCAAATTAAACAACCTACCTCATCTAATGGTGTCTCAAATTGAAGATTGACACTCTCGGCATGAGCACGCATGACAGGTACTCTTATACAGGTGGCTGTTACTTTAACAGCATTATTGTTCTGCAAAGAAAAAGTTTACACATTATACATGTAAATTGTAACAATCAAATGTATTCCAATCAAACCGGTGAGTTAAGACAATACATGAAAACCACATCAGGGAAAAACAAACTAAATTTTACCCATATCTTTCTCGTCTCCTTTACTAATTTCATCTCCTCCTCATTGTATCCGTTTGAAAGGACAGGTGCATTATGTGAGAACAAGTTAAAGGCATACTGCAGTTTGGAAAAATATCAGACACTAGAATCTTTGTCTTCTAATGACGAGTCGAAAAGTGCGATAAGAAGATTGCATGGCAAACCTGCTGCTTAAAAATGTTGCAGGTTGGCGGTTTTCCTTCCAGCACCTATTGATAAATAAAGTGTCATTTACTTAGAAAAGTAATGGGTAGATAATATCAAAACATTTGTAAAAGACAGAAAAACACCTCACGAGTTTGCAGTTCAAGTTCTTCCATTGCTGCTGCACCTGCACCACTTGCTGCCTGGTATGTACTTACAACCATCCGTGATACCTGCATAGCAATAGCAAGTTTAGCAAACTCAGAAATTAAGACCAAGATACTCCACAACACAGTGTTTTATCATAGATCCACACTATCCAGGGAACTTTGGGGTAACCGAAAACACAATTATCACAAACAACTAAGAAGTGAACTAGTGTCTACAACTTATTGAACAATTCGTGGTGGGGCAACGAACTTTAACATGGATTTTTCATCAACCCATTTTTAATACGAGCAACTTTATATCACTAGATCTTAATTCTTAAATATGAAATTGTTCGCCACTCTGATTAAAAGTTAACCATGATATATGGTCACTTGAGCATACCAATAGACTGAATACAGGTGACGGAAAGTAAAGATCAATCCAAATTTCATGAGATTCAAAGGTTGGAAAGATGTCCAACCTCAAAAGAATGTTCCTCTGAAATCTACTTATCTCTAATACATATACACTTTCTTGTAACAATTTTATTTGGAGCAATGATGCCCATAAGATGCATAACTATTCAGATTTTTTTAGATCTATATTAAGCCGTAACCTTAGAATAAATTAACTGAAGATTACAGTCCTAACTTTTATCGTAGAGGACAAAACATTCTACATGCAATTCCCCAATTATTCACTTTAGCAAGGAGGGTTGTGGTGATCATATAAGATACAATCATCATTCATAGATCAGTTCCATCTTCTTTCTGGCTTCGTTGTTTTGCTTAATATATTATAACCTGTCAATTCTAGCCCACAACTTCCTCTGTGTTATACAATAAAAAATGTACAAACTCATATCACTGCACTAATTTTGTACCTAAATCATCCAGCTCTGGGCTTTGATGTACACCCAATAGCGCCACCAACAAAATTCATCCATAACTTACTCTTCATATACTAAAAACATGCTATCTCTGCCAGGACGCACTCTTGAATTTGGACCGGAATCAGTCTCATAAAAAACACACATCATCTTTCGAACATCAATAATCCTACACATTTCTCATTGCACCTCATTCGAGTATAAATCAACACAAATATACGAACAGCACGCACAAATAAAGAAATGCAGCTCAAGAAAATTTCTTCATACTCTGGCATGACGGTGCAAAGGGGTGGCTGCCATGAGGCAAATAATAGTCGAGCAGTTTGGATTTGCAATGAGAGCCCCTTTCCCACTCCTGAGATTAATTCCCTCCATGGCCTCAGGATTTACTTCCGGTATCACCAGAGGGACGCCTTGGTCCATCCTGAACGCCGAGCTATTATCCACCACGATGGCTCCATTGTCCACGGCTACTGGTCCGAACTTCTTGCTTATACTCCCGCCAGCACTGAAAAGGGCAATGTCCACGTCACTGAAGCTGTTCTCCGTCAATTCGTCCACGGTGTACTCTCGATTTTCGTACGTGACCTTTTTCCCGGCAGAGCGTTTGGAGGCGAGCAGCTTGAGGGATCGGTAAGGAAAGTTGCGGTCGGAGAGGACGGAGAGGAACTCCTGGCCGACTGCGCCAGTGACGCCGACGACGGCGACGGAGGGGCCGTTCTCCCTGAGGGACATGCGGACGGCGAATGAGGCCTTGGAGACGCGAGCAGAGCAGGGCACGGAGGAATTGGTGGCATTATGGAGGGAGGGGGAGGAGAGGTAGTGGAGGTGGTGGTTGTGGGAGATGGTGGGGAGTTTCATATCGGCGGCGGCGGGGGAAGTAGGGTGAGATTGGGGTAGTGGTTTGTGTGTATAGAGTGCAGGATTTTATTTTTTATTTTATTTTTTATCAAACGATCAAATCATATCAATACCATTGCTCGGATACAAAACTTATCCAAAAAATTCAAACATTTTTAACTCAACCATTTTTTTTAACTCAACTTTAACTCAATTCAACTATCATTAATATTACTAATATAACTAAATAATATCAATCAATCATTCTTACTCATCACATCAACCTTAATTCACTATTTATCCACTCACATAATTTTAATTAACCATCATTTCAAATCATCTCTCTCATACTTTTACATCAAATCAACTTTAATTATTTTAATTAAAATATTATTTTAATATACCCACTAACAACTAACCATACCACCTTTTTCAAAATTAACCCATAATTTTTAAACCCGGCCCGGTGATCGACCCGGGCAGGTCCTCGGGTCACCGGGTCACCGGTTCAACCGTCGGGTCACCGGGTCAATTGCTGAACCGGATAATTAATTTTAAAATTTCTAAAATTATATATATAGTATTTTTGTTATATAAATATACATAAAAGTAACAAAATTAAATGTTTTGTGTATAAAATTTGTATACTAAAGTGTTAATAATATGTATCTCATGATAAATATTTCCCATAAAAACATATATACATAGTTTTATTTTTAAAAAATATAAAAATATAAAAAATATATATGGACCGGGTCAACCGGGTTGACCCGGCCGGGTCAATGCCCCGGGTCGGCCGGGTTTTGACCAGGTTTGACCGGGTCCTTGGTTGCCCGGTCCAAATCTCCACCCGGAACGGTTCCAGCTCCGGATCGACCGGGTCCCGGGTCGACCCGCCGGGCCGGTCCGGGTCACAAAACAGTGAATTAACCAAACCAAACCAAAAAATTCAAACAAATCCAAAATTTTTTATATCCAAGCATCCTCAACCGTAATCAACTTATTACAATCTCAATTGCTATTTACCGCTCCCCTTTTACTAGTCACCGCCCCCCATTTACTTTTTTGCCCTTAACCCTTATTTCTCTAAACTTTCTATCTCTCTAAATTCCCGAACTTTCAACGAGCGATTCGAGCACCGAAAAAAATCCGAAAAAATGTCGAAAAAATCCTACGTCATCGGCAAAGCGTTCTTCTCTAGCAAGGTAATTTTTTTTTTTTTTACGCATGAATAATTTTTAATTTTTTTTTATTCTGAACCGCGTCCGGCCGTCGCCTCCGGA